AGTGAGAAAAATTTTCAGGAACGGAGAGAGTATGTTCATAATAATTTTGGTCATAGTTTCATCCATACGTTTTATTGTAGTAATACTTGAGTAGAATCTTAAAAGAAACTAATGTTTCACAACTTATTATGACTAATTTTTATTGAACAAACTCAATTGATTAAAATTCTTGTGAATATTATAAAAGAGTAGTTGTAGTCATGATCGACAAGCAATTAAAGGTGAAGAAGGAAAGAGAGGAGTGGTTCTGGGTGGATTTTCATCGTGAAAAGTTGGCTAATTTTCGTTTCATGTGTGGATTGGTCGTGCGGACAAGTTCTGTCTCATGTAGCAAAGGGGTGTATTGTATAGGATTAGTGCCAAAATTTTAAAAATTGTTAGATTTTAAAAGTTTAGGTGTATTCAATGTGGACTTTTAAAAATCTAAAAGAAATTAGGTGTATTCAATATAGACCTTTAAAAGTCTATAGAAGTCTATGCGTATTCAATCTTCCGTTCATTCTTATTGACTTCTAAAATCATGGATTCTCATGGAGTTTTAATTCATTCTTAGTTCAATAATCCTCTACAATTGTCTCTTCTCCTCACCAAAGATTTCTGTGGACTTTTCTGGTGTCTTCTACTCATCACAAGTACGCATAGATCTGGTTGCAGTCTTGCAGATTTGGCTAATTATTTACCTGGTATCACAAATCGGTCAACAAGTCCTGGACTAGTAACGATCGGGTCGCGAAGTGGGTATCAGGATGGTCTTAATATGCAAGATTTGAACATTAAATTTTGATTTTTTTATCATTTCACGATAAGTAAAGTTGAACAAGAAGATTCTACATTAATACTGATACACAAGATAAACTTAAATAAAATTACAAAGTGATATTTTATAAATAGCCTCTTATGAAGAAAATTAATAAAAATAAATTTAGATTCTTATATTTCATATATTCTTCAGAAGTTGCCCTAAATAGGAGTAAAAACGTTTTGAAATTCTAAAATAGGAGTATCATGTCTTTTATTCCTTGAATAGGAGTAATCTGCCAAGTTTGGAAAAAATGTCATGTTAAAAGCCTTGTAATGCCAAACTTGGCAGAAATTTACTCTTATTCAAGGAATAAAAAACATGATACTCCTATTTTGGAATTTCAAAACGTTTTTACTCCTATTTAGGCAATTCTCTCTTTATTCTTGTAGAACTTTGCGTTGCTAGATGAATTACATTATTTCATTTATTTATTTAATTGTTTCTTATCATATTATACAGATGAAATTACTCACAGTAGAACTAAAACATAACATTTTTTGAAAATATGACCATATGTTTGATTTTTCTTAAATAGGACTAAATATTACATTTCCACCCCAAATTTAATTAATTAACATAATTAATTATGGTGATGATGAATTGTCTCTCATTTCCTTGCACAACCAAAGTCATTTTATTGATGGCGGATCAGTCCGATGACAACGATGAACTCCCGTGACGGAGGCGGACAAACAAACTGGTAGCGGCGATCTAGGTGAAAATTCCGACAACCCAGCAGAGGCGCTCCGGATTTAAAAGTCTATGGACTTTTTGAAAGTCTACAAACTTATCCATGACTTTAAAAGTCAATAGAAGTCATTTATAACAAAGTCAATGGATTTAAGTCCATTGACTTTTTTAAAAGTCAATGGATTAAAAATGGTCCACCACAATCCATATTCAATATACCCCCCCAGCGGTGGACTCAGGCTGGTTCATTCCCTATTCCAGGGAAAAATATAGGAGCCTGACATGCTATATTTCAGTTCTGAACTCATTTCGATTGACCGGGCGGTCCCCGTTTCGATTCTTGTCCAGACTAAGTCCAGTTCCCCTTTTTTTTAAAAAGAATTCTTTATCAAAGGGTAAAAATGTAAAAAACAAAAATGTGCTAACATATAGTATGAATTAAAAAAATTATAATTAATAAATTTAAATATATACATAACCTTTTAAAATTTAAATGACTTGCACTTTTATTGAAGTTGGGTTAGTATTCCTTTTATAAAGATATGGGAATAAAAGCAAACGAAGTTCTTTATTTTTTATTAAACAATGAAATAGGAAAAAAGTAATAATAATTTAAATAAACTCTATTCGCCCGAGCTTTCACTTCCCACATTTGTTGTTGTTTCTGTCACGGAATGGCGTGTTGGTGCGATATTCCGTTCTTGAGTACAACGTCTAGACTTTAGCCAATCATGAAAGAAACAAGTGTTTCAAATGATTGAGCAATCAATTGTGTTTGTAATCGGTAAGAACGTTGTCAGCGCTACTGAATCATTGTTCAACCACAGCTTTTGAAACCAACATGCATAGAATTTGTCTTTCCATTGTTGATAATATAGGAAATATTGATTTTTGTCTTCATACTCACAAGAAATATAATAAACTAATAGTCTAACTACTAGCCATTGGGAACAGACCGGGACCGACCGGTTCTGGTTCCGACTTTTGCCTACCCAGGACCAGATAATA